CCTCCCCCCCGGTCCCCCATTAAGCTGCGCCCTCTATTCTCTCTTGCCTCTCTCCTACCTCCGACCTCCCCACCTGCCCACCTGGCCACCTCACTCAACGCTCCACTCTCTCCTCTGGCACTTCGTGGCGTTTGTGAAAAAAAACTCTCACTCACCGGGCCAAACTCCCTCATGTACGCGCCCACATTGTCCAGAGTCTTTTCCAGCCCCACCCACTCCCCCCCATCTCCCTCCTCGCCCTTCTCTCCCTCTCCCTCTCCCCGCAGTCGCAGAGGCAGTCGCACCACCCAGCCCCGCTCACAGCTCCGCCCCGCTTTACGCCCTACGAGTGCCTCGCGTTCATCTGCGTCGTGTGTCGCTTCCAGCGCCGTGCGCATCTCTCGGGGAAGCGCGTCGTACGTCTTGCGCAGCGCTGCATGCGAGGAATGCTCGGGGGGCACGTAGGAGAGGAGATCTGATAGTGCGGCCGCTTGCTCCCAGGTTGATGCTGTCTCCTTCTCCTTGGCGTGCTCGTGCGAGTGCGAGGAGGAGCAGGCTGCCTCGAGGGAGCAAGGAGGCAGAAGCAGCGGCGCCTCGAGGAAATGCAGCGCAAAGTGAGCCGGCAATCGCTGTGCCAGCGGCGCGAGGAGCGCGCGGAACGACGCAGAGGATTGGTGAGTGCCGTGCAGGCAGAGAATGCGCCGCGTCGGGCGGGGGGGATGCGACATGGTGTGGGAGTTGGGTTGGGTGTGTGGTGGTGTGTGTGTGGAGAGGGAAGCAAACAAAGAGGCACCCGTCACGCCCGCTACGCCGCCGCGGCGCTGGAGCCGGCTTCGTACCCCCCGCTTACGGCGGCCGAGCGGCGCTTCCCCGCGTTTCGCGTGAGAGAGGCATGTGACACACGCGCGCTCGCTGAGTAAGAGTCTTAGTGCAGACTTCTCTGAGCCAGCCCCCCGTCGTTGTGGCATCGCTTGCACGGTTGCTGAGCTCGAGCGCGCTTCTACTTGCCGCGTTCCGACGAGCCACCACACACAGGGGGTGAGCAGGGGGGAGCAGGGGAGCAGGGGAGAGGGAACAGGCAGCAAGCAGCAAAGCGTAGGGCAACCTGCTTTGGCTGCCCTCTCTTTCTCTCTTCTCTTTCTCTCTCTCTCTCTCTCTCTCTCTCTCTCTCTCTCTCTCGATCTCTCGATCGAGACTCAAGCTTGAGCAAGCACGGTGCTCCGCCACACCAGAACCAGCCGCACCAAGGCATACCTTGCTCATTCGCGAGTTTCGCGAGCTTGGCGATGTTTGCCGAGGCGCAGGAAAGGGGGGTTGGGAGATGCAACGTGTGTGTGTGTGTGTGTGTGTGTGTGTGTGTGTGTGTGTGTGTGTGCTCGCCCAGCCTTCTCAGCTTAGCTCGGGGCGAAAAAGAGGCAGCGCCACAATTCGAATTTTCATCCCATTCCTCCCTCTCCCTCGTCATCGAAGTCAGCCCACGGGGGGCAGCCTCAGGGTGTGCAGAGGGGGGGGGGGGGGGGAGTCCAACTTTTGCATCCCCCCCTCCCCCCAGCGCAACCCCCCTGCCTCGCGCGCGCGCCTCACAGCACAAGCAGTGCCCAATCCAGCAGCAGCACGACGCCCAGCAGTACGCTGAGGCCTAGCAGCAGTGTGCCCGCCATGCCCAGGCCCAGCTTCTCGCCCGGCAGCGTGCAAGGCGCGCTTCGCAGCTTGCGCGCCGCGTTGACGTTGACGTTGGCGGCTGCCTGAGTAGTCGCGCTCGGCGTCGAGGAGGGAGAGGAGGAGGAATCGGGAGGCGTCAAGGAAGCAATGCTCGCCGCCCCTCCACTCGAGCTCGAGCTGGACACGCCGCCGGGCGGCAGACTGGTTTGTATCGTAAAGATCGGCTCGGTACTGCTGGGCGATGGCGGCGTACAGACGGGTCCATGCCCGAGTGACACGCCTGCAGAAGCGGTGGATGTCGGACAGGTGAAGATCAACGACGAGTCGGAGCCGGTGGAGTGAGCGCCGCGAGGGAGCGAGTACGTCGTCGAGTCGTCGTCGCCGTCGGTGGGGCCGGTGATGGATTGATAAGGCAGCGTGAACTGGGCATGCGTGCATGCCAACGGCGCGAGGAGAATCGCGAGGAAGAGGGAAATGTTCATCGTTTTTCGTTCGTGGGGACGTTGGTTGCGGGCAACGAGTGCAGGAAAAGGGCTTAAAGCTGCAAGGAGAGAGCGTGCGAGCCGTGGAGTCGTTAGAATCTGAGAGGCAGCCCCAAGAGGCGAGTAGTTTCGGTCGGCTGGGATTTGCTAATGCGCCGCGCCGCGCGGGAGAGAGAAAGGTCGGCTCGGCGATTTGTAGAGAGGTGTGTGTGAGAGGAGCAGAAACGAGATAGCGGGTGCGGGGTGCGGGTGTGGGTGCGCCAGCAGAAACGAGATGGGCAGTCTGCTTAATGAATTGTGTGTGTGTCCGTGCCTTCTCGGATGGAAAGCTGGCGCAGGAGCGAAGAGCGAGAGGCGCGCTGCGGCTGTGGGGGAGGGGGGCGCAAAAGAGAACGCTAACGGCCGCTGCTCCCTCACTTGCTCTCTCCTGCGTTGCGCTGGAGCTTTGATGAGGTGCAGTCTCGAGAGAGAGCAGGTCTTGGCGCGCGCGAGGGCGAGAGAAGCGCTGGGTAAGGTGCCTGTGCAGATGGCGAGGTAACGCGCTGCGGCAGCAGATGCTTGAGAGAGAGAGAGAGAGAGAGAGAGAGAAGCAAGAGAGCGAGCTTCGCACTGTCGCCACAGGAGAGCACAGAGAGGATGAGGTGCGGGAGCGTTTGATGATGTGGTGGCGAGGAGGTGAGAAGCGAAGTCGAGCGCGGCTGTCGAATAAAGATAGCACCGCCTCGCGCGAATACAACTCGTCGGAAGCAAGTGCGGGGAAAGGTGTATTCGGCGCACGGACCATCTGCCTGTTGCCCGCCTTGCCCGCCTTATCTGCCCTGGCCGCGCAGGCGGCGGGGCGCGCGCCCGGCTTCATCGTCACAGCGCGGCGCGGCTCCGGCTTCGCTTTCGTCCCCTCACCACCTTCCTCCTCATCCTCCACTTTCACTCATCCATCCGCAGCTCGGGGGCACAGGCAGGCCATGCTTCTCCCTCGCGTCTCGCCTCACACTGCGCACCCGGCGCGGGCGCAAGCCATGCTGCGCCTGCGCCTGCGGCACGCCTCGCTTGCCTCTGCCTTGCGGCGCCCGGCAGCGCACTGGCTGCATCTCAGCAGCTCCGCCTCCGCCTCTAGCAACAGCAGCAACAGCAGCAACAGCAGCAACAGCAGCAGCAGCAGCAGCAGCAGCAGCAGCAGCAGCAGCAGCGCGTCGAGCACATCGAGCGCAGCCGAGCTGCCGCCGAGGCCGCGGCGGTCTCTCCTCTACGTGCCCACGTCTTCCGCGCGCAAGCTCTCCGGCGCCTTGCAGTCCAAGCCCTCCAGCTCGCACGACGGCGCGCCCGACACGCTCATTCTCGACCTCGAAGACTCGGTCGCGCCTTCTCAGAAGGACGCCGCGCGCGACGCACTCGTAGAGGCGCTGAGTGGGCGCACACAAGGTGGGACATCAGAGGTGGCGGTGCGCATCAATGCGCCGAGCGAAGGCATGGGCAATGGAAGTACGGCACTCAGAGATGCAAGGGCCGTGCTGGCTTGTCGAGGCGTCGAAGTGAGTTTCTCTTGTGTGTTGCGCAAACAGCACAACACGCATGAAAGCGAAGAGGATGGATTGGCTGATGACGATGAGCAAACTAGGCCATTGTGCTGCCGAAAGTCGAGTCGGCAGCAGATGTACTGTCCATCCTGTCTCTCTCGCATGCCATCCGTCCCAAGATGTACGTCCTGCCTCCCTTTCCGCGTAACCCTCTCTTTGGCTCGCTGACTCCGCTTTGGGACATGCCGCTTTGCGCGCGCTTAGTCCACTCTCCCTGATTCTCTCCATCGAATCCGCCTCTTCTCTTCTCCTTATGCCCTCTCTTCTCTCCTCCCTCATCGCACATCACGGCTCCCTCGCCAAGGCGGGCATTGCAGCACTGCTCTTCGCCAGCGAAGACTACTGTGCCGCCACGGGCATTGAGCGCACGCGCGAAAGGATGGAGCTGCTCTATCCCAGAGCCCAACTCGTCACCGTGGCAAAGGCATTTGGAGTAGGCGCCATCGTAAGTCATTGCGCCGCCCGCCTCTTGCTTGGTTGCGGGCTCAACTGCCGCCCCCCTCTCCGCTTGTGGCTTGCGGCTTGCGGGCAGGACA